AGAAATTTAGCAAATGTCCACTTGAAACCATCTAGTGCCTCCAGCCATCTGCGTTGGGAGTACCAGAGATGATCTGACTGAAGTTCAGAGGCTAAATATTGATATTTTATAATGGTTACTTTGAATTTCTTTAAGAATTCACCCTCTAAGAGTTTTAATAGGATTCAAACCTTGGTTAAGGCTGCTTGTTTGGCACTTCCTTGGTGGCCCAATGGCTAAGACTCTGCAGTCCCAATGCAGGGGACTCAGGTTCAATCTCTGATCAGGTACCTAGATCGCACATACCACAACTAAGAGATCAGAAGCCACAAAAAAAAAAAAAAAAATCGTCATGCCACTACTGAGACCCAGTGCAGCCAAATAAATTAATTAATAATTATTTTTAAGACAAGAGAAAGGAGGAAAGACTGCTTATTTAGCAAAATGATCTGCTGGAGTATTTCTTTTAGCTTCCATGTCATTTCTTTTTTCATGGGCCTCAACTTTTACATCAGCTACCTCAGTATGAACTAGGAGTACACCTCGTACTCCTAGTTATGTTAAATATGTTAAAGTATGTTAAATATGTTAAAGTATGTTAAATATGTTGTCCATTTTTGATGGAGGTTCCAGCAGAATTGACTCTTGGCTTCCAAAGCAACCCAAAGTATTAGTTTTTTTGGTTTGTTTGTTTTTAAATCATGCCCAGTATGTATCTGTGTTAGTCACTCAGTCATATCCAGCTCTTTGCAACCTGCCAGACTCATTTGTCTTTTGAATTCTCCAGTCAAGAAAAAATTCTCCAGGCAAGAGTGGGTAGCCATTCCCTTCTCCAAGGGATCTTCCCGACCTAGGGATTGAACCTGGATCTCTTGCATTGCAGGCAGATTCTTTACCATCTGAGCCACCACTGTGGTCTCTGACCAGTTGACGAGGTCAAGGAAGTGCTATGGTTTGACCCTTGGGGCTGATTTTTCCCTCAGGTGGAGGACTGTATTATAAAGGCAAGCTTCAATGGGTGTTAGCATGTTCTGCTTCAGGTTCAAGTTTTGAGATGTGATTTTTCAACAAATAATATTAGGTCAGAGTTTTAAAAACACTGAATGAGGTATAACAAGTTCCTAAGGGAGCTAAGAAAATGTTAGGTTTCCCTTCCTTTGGTGGACAGGCACAGGGTCTCAATGATGAATAGTGGCGTGAGGGGAAAAGACTAACAGAATCTCATCCGGGGCTGATCACCTAACTAAGAAAGGTTATGTGTTCTCGGGCAGTAGTAATATGTGTGTCACATGAGGAACCATGAGAACAAGAGGGGCACTTATGACTAGTTTAGCAGAAGCACTGAGTTTTGAAGCAGTGGTTATTGCCCTACAAAGAGGAGACTATGCCTTTATGACCAGGTCAAGGCGATGAGTGTTTGACTCCCATGAAGTTATGTTGAAACTCTATAAAGACATGCCTAGATTGCTCACGTGCAAGTAGACAAAATGTCCACTTGGGTTCGGAGGACATAAACCCCAGACTTCTGAATCAAAGGATTTTAGTTGGAAGTGCCTATAGAGAGAGTCTGTTGACTAACCCTCTTCAAATGACAGAAAGTCTGTTTATGTAGGTAGGTAAATAGGTTTAGTCACTAAGTCATGTCCAGCTCTTGCAACCACGTGGACCATGGCCCACCAGACTCCTCTGCCCATAGGATTTCCCAGGCAAGAATATTGGAGTGGGTTGCCATTTCCTTCTGTAGAGTCTCTTCCTGACCCAGGGATTGAACTGCAGTCTTCTGCATTGCAGGCAGACTCTTTACTGACCGAACCATTTGACACTTGTTTGCAATATTCAGTTGTCAGTGAAAAAATTTTATGGACAGAAGGAAGTAGATACAGGAAGCTATACTACCAAAAGGCAGATATGTTGTGGTGAAGGCAGTTTCCTTTAGGGGATAGCAGAGGTCTGTCAGACATTAACTCACTGGTGCTGACCAGGTGATTCCTGACTGTTTCAGTTCAGTTCAGTTCAGTCGCTCAGTCATGTCCAGCTCTTTGCGACCCCATGAACTGCAGCATGCCAGACCTCCCTGTCCATCACCAACTCCCGGAGTTTACTCAGACTCATGTCCATTGAGTTGGTGATGCCATCCAACCATCTCATCCTCTATCGTCCCCTTCTCCTGCCGCCTTCAATCTTTCCCAGCACCAGGGTCTTTTCCAAGGAGTCAGTTCTTCGCACCAGGTGGCCCAAGTATTGAAATTTCAGCGTCAGCATCAGTCCTTCCAAAGAATATTCAGGACTGATTTCCTTCAGGATTGACTGGTTTAGCTTTGCTTAGCTTGCAGAAAAAGAATGTAGTTCTGAATTGAAGCAAGCTATATATTTGGTACTGAGTTTATCAAAGTGCCCTGGTTCATGTCTAGTTACTAGCTATGAGGTCTTGTGTGGCTTGCTCTGGGTCTTACTGCCATCCATAAAATAGGAAAATAAACCTGTCTCTACTGATCTTCTATATTTGTTGAGAGGGATAAATGAAAATTTATGCGTAATAGCATTTTGTATATTAAGGGGCCACATAAAGATAAGTTAGCACTACAACTTTGGGAAAGAAAAAGAAAGTGAGAACAAGAAACAGCAGGAAAAGAAAGCAGGAAAAAAGAAAAAAGAAAGGGTGATGGTAATTGAACAGAGTGGTTTCAAAGAGACTTTCTAAGTCTAAAATTCTGTGACTTAATAGGAAAAGAGAAAATGGAAAAGTATCAAAAGGTGTATATCAAAAGTAGCCATTTGTTCAAGAACAAGATTCAGAATTATTTGTGTCTACTAAAAGGAAGCCACAATCTTTTTTATTTTAAAATACAATTTATCTGTTACATTGCAAACTCTTTCAAGTACCTCTATGCTTATGTCAGTCTTTTCAAATCATGTGATAGTAACTTTGTTACAGCATCATTTTTAGATCATGATCACACCTCCCTGATTCAGACTCATAGCAGGTTATTCCCTGTGGAACAGTCAGCCTGGTTCAACTGGATAAAAGTCACTGAAAAGTCTGAGAAGGAGGACTGTCTGACCCTTCTTATTCCATAATTCCAAATGGTACACCCCTGATGAAACATGATTTGTATGTTTCGTATGCAATGATTTGTATGCAAGCCATGGTGGACTGCTTTTATCATAATCAGGACATTCATCCAATGAACATGTCCCTTACTCAACAAAGATTTAGCAAGAATTTTGATGAAAAGGGTTATTTTTGTATGGGTACCAACTGTAACCTTACTGCAACAAAATCAAGCATATCAAGAAGCCTTATTGGATTACCTGTCTCAGCTTCTGCTTATGGGNTAGGTCATACCTGAATGGTCTAGTGGTTTTCCCTACTTTCTTCAGTTTAAGTCTGAATTTGGCAATAAGGAGTTCATGATCTGAGCCACAGTCAGCTCCTGGTCTTGTTTTTGCTGACTGCATAGAGCTTCTCCATCTTTGGCTGTGAAGAATATACTCGATCTGATTTCAGTGTTGGCCATCTGGTGAGGTCCATGTGTAGAGTCTTGTGTTGTTGGAAGAGGTGTTTGCTATGACCAGTGCATTCTCTTGGCAGAACTCTATTGGCCTTTTGCCTGCTTCATTCTGTACTCCAAGGCCAAATTTGCCTGTTACTCCAGGTATTTCTTGACTTCCTACTTTTACATTCCAGTCCCCTGTAATGAAAAGGACATCTTTTTGGAGTGCTAATTCTAGAGGGTTTTGTAGGTCTTCATAGAACCATTCAACTTCTGCTTCTTCAGCATTACTGGTCAGGGCATAGACTTGGATTATCATGATATTGAATGGTTTGCCTTGGAAATGAACAAACTCTAACTGTTTAGGATTCCATTTTTGGGAAAGCTTAAACTGTAATTAGATTAAATCTCCGGTTGATGAGACTGGACTTAGTATGAGCAACTTCATCATAGCTATGCTATCATGTTTTTAACACAGTTAACCTAGAAATTCTCTCAGTTGTTTTGTGAAAGTTCAGATGTTTGGATAGTCTACAGCCTAACCAGAAAAGAGTGATTTCCCTTCTTATATAACTTCAGTCATGGATTATGTGTTGGCAAAATTATGACTTATCTTTTGAAACTTTATGTCCCCCTTTTGCTAAGGCTCAGAGCAAGTAAATAGATTCCTTTTTATAAGGTTCCTTATGCTGTGAATAAAGTAGGAGATCATGTACAAATTTGGTTAGAACCAAATTACAAGAGAAATGTAGACCTTTTAAATGTTGGTTGAGGGCCTGGATGAAATTGAAGGTTTCAGTGAACACCTGGGGTGTGACTATCCGGGTGTATTCTTGTCCTCCCCAGGTGAAGATAAAAAGGAAAGATTTAGGGTAAAAAAGAGAAGGCATCAGGTATATTCTGATTGGAGTTTGATGGATGGGGAAGCTCAAGACAGGCAAATTAGAAGTGAACGATTTGACGTAATTGGTTTGGGAGCGTATTTGTCTTCCTTTGGATTGTTCTTGGGCTTACCAGGTGGCTCAGTGCTAAAAGAATCCAACTGCCAATGCAGGAGATGCAGGAGGATTCTTGCCTGTAAAATCCCGTGAACAGAGAAACCTGACAGGCTACAGTACGTGGGGTCGCAAATAGTTGAACACAACTGAGCGACTGAGCATGCACATGCTTGTGGACTGTTCCTAGTTGGAAGCTGGCAGTCACTGACCAAGTCTTGACCATTTGGGGCCAATTGCTGTAGAGATTATGGTTGACGTCTGTGGATGGTTACAGTAGAAGTTGTGGATCCATGTTCTATATGTGGTCTGCCGATTCATTATCCAAACAGGTTGATCTCTCACCCTTTTCCCGTATAATGTTCTCCAGCTACATCTCAAAATGATTTGAAAGATAATGAAAAGATTTTGCAAAGTGGAAATATAACATTTTTGTTAATCTACTGGCAGGTATCTGAAAACATGGACTTTTCATCTTAATTCCATTAGAGTTAATTTTTTATCTGCAATTGTTTATGTTCTTACAGAGGATCTTGATGATTTAAGAATGGAGGGAGTAACTACCCTGACACCTTCTGGGAGCAAATTTAACCAAGGTCGAGCTACTTACTCTGCTGAACCTCAGGCCAAAGTCACATTGAACATCTGTTCAAGGTGTGCCAGGTAAAACAGATTATAGGTGTATCTATGTATATACATGATCTTGATTTTTTAAATCTAAGATTTTGATGCAAAGGGTGTACTCCTCTGTGTTAAGAGAATCTTTTCCTTCTGGTTATCTTTTGTGCTGAGTTAACAAGGGAGTTAGTTGTACAGTTTATCCTCATGCCCCAATGTCACTCAGACCAACAATGAATCAAAGAGTTTAGCTTGTCTTTACTTCACAGTTGGAGACTATTCTAAGACTTTCTGCCCCTGAATTTCATTTGCTGTCTGCCTTTCTGTCCCTTTTCAAAAGAAGATTTAAGGGACCCTAGAAGTTCAAAGCCACTTAAGGCACCTGCGTAAAGGACAGTTTGCCCAGGTACAGTTTAAGACCGGACGTTATTGGCCTCTTAACCTGTTCCTCATCTTGTTCACCTCCTGGAAAGAATTTAATCAGCTTGATGCTTTTCAGGTTTGGCAGCTGGAAGCAACCTTTGCATACAGTGTATGTGGCCAAAGAAGTGGCTTACGTTAACTGCCCAGTCAGCTCCCAGTGCTGGTCTAGCAGAAGCTCACCAAACAGCTAGAATTCATTCTCTTGTAGGAGCGAAATCTCATTTGCAAAGAGGCTTTTAAGCCTGTTTAAATGATAAAACAAGCCTTCTAAACCCTTATGTAAATGGTGCAGATTAGCAAGAACAATGCCCTGGCTGGCCACTTTTATCTCCTTTGCTCTATGTCTAGCTGTTCTATTGTACAGTTTGAGAGGGGATTTGTGGCTTGGAAATGGGGCGGTGGGGGGAAGTGTAGGAAAATCAAATCAGATTTTTGTAGCTTTTCCTTGCCTTTACTCCTTGGGAAGTTTAATTGTAGTTGTCATGGGCTTAGAAAAATAAAAAGAGATAGAATAAAAATAAATAGAAAAATCAGAGGGTATTATTTGAGATCATTAAGAGAAATGCCACCATAAAATGAAAACACCACTGGAAACATTGCTTCAGACAAGTAATATTTGGGTGGATCGATTTTTTTGATTAAGGGTATGAAGAAAACTGCAAGTATTTATGCAATGATATTTAGGCATCCTGAGTGTGGAAGAATCATTTGGCAATTAAAAAGAACTTTATAGTATGTTTGTACATTTACAGGTTGACTGGGAGGGGTTGGTGCTTGGTTCTTGGTCCTTGGTCCTTTATGTTATTTGTAGAAGATTGGGATATGAGGAGTTTTTTATGGAAAGGAAATCCCGTGAAAACAAAATGTTTTACTAAAGTACTGAAGATTTGAATTGGGAAAGGTCCAAACCCATTACATAGCCCTAAATTATTCACACTCAGCTTCCTAATGATAAGCTAGATTATAAATTATAAACTACCTGCATATAAGATGAACTTGTAACCTCTAAGGGCTTCCCTGGTTGCTCACATAGTAAAGAATCTGCCTGCAATACAGGAGACCTGATTGAGAGAGCTGGATAGGGTCATGTATGCATAGACAGCCAACCAAGTGATCACAGTGCAGGATTCTCAAGAAATCCTTTAAAAAAAAAGTTTCTCTTCTTTTTCTCCCATGCACTGGGATAATTCCCATGTAAATACTTAAGGAGTTGAAAATATTTTGAATTTTCCCCCTCTTTTAGAAAGGCCCACATTAAAGTACTCAGGCATTGAAGAAAAAAGAGCCTCATTTTCCAAGAGCCTCATTTTCCTGACAAGAAGGAATTTTTTGCCTTAGGCTTCTTACAGACTAGGGAGAAAACTATAGCTCGTTATCTGGGACAATAAGACAGTGTAGGGTGGCAGTGTTTTTGTTTTTGTGTTTGTTTGTTTCTCAGAGTTTCATGGTCAAGAAATAATTTTTTTCAGGTAGAACTGGAAGTTTAAAAGCTTAAAGGATGTGTTGTTTTCTTGAAATAGTGCTGTAGCCCCAGGACACCCAAGAGTCATTGAGATTCAGGGGATGGCCAGAGCTTCTGCAAAGAACCCATCAGTCAGCAAGTTAATGTAAAGAGGTGGAGTGTACTCTTGAAATTGTCATTTTCCTCAATCTCTTTTTCAAATACTACACTGCTTGTGAGCTACGTATGGGGTCACAGTATCTAGAAGGAAGTTTGCATAGCATATGTCCAGAACATTATTACTCTTATCAAACTGAGGGCATACAGCCAAAGGCCACAGAGACTTTCTCATTCAGAACCTGATTAGAAGACATGATCTGTCCTGAAACTAATACATTGCTCTGGGAACAGTTGATGGATATCATATATATATGACCATTGGTAGGACTTCTGATTTTCAAGAGATCAGGAAAAGAGGAATTCAGCCTACATTAAGTTGCTCTGTGAAGTTTTATGTGCAACGAAGTGGCTAACTATGAAGAATGTAAAAAAATGTTTTGATTAGATGGTTACAAGAAATAAAATTATAACTTTTTTCATAAATATTTCATACATTGTTAGAAAAGTGCAGATGGAAGAAAGCTTATGTTTTCAAGCTGGAAAATTATTCCAGGGTAATGTTATTCCCTTAGCTCTTAGTGACCTTAATCTGATGTGGACATGGCTGCAATTTGTATGGTTTAAACAAACAGATGACATCATTTGGCAAGTGGAAAAATGCATAGTTAATAGATGTCTGGTCACCAAGATATATTGAGATTCTAACCCAAAATGTCTCTGTTTTCCCCTCAGATCATAAGGGAAAGAAACCATTACAAAATAATTTTAAGTAAATAAAGAATTTTCTATGTATAATATAATATAGCAGTGTCCTTATAACTGCTGATTTTTTTTTTTGCATTACAAGTTAGATTTTTTTTATATATTCATTGAGTGTCTTAGTTGGACTTTCAGAACATTCTACTCATACAGCTACTAAGCCTTGAACGGCGTGGGCAAAACAAGTTTAATTTGTTGCCTAGGAGTCACACCATGTCATATCAACCAAAAAGTAAAAATGTCAGTAGGTCAATAATGCGCATTGCCAGTAATTATCAGCAAAACTTGTGTGGTTTTAAAAAACAGTGGTCTGGAGCATTGTGAGTTTCAAATTAAATCTCTCTATTAAATATCCTGAATTTTCTTTTTAAGGTAACAGTTAAGATATCAATAACAAGCAAACAAATGCTGATACCAAGGCAGCAAAGTACTATTTCAGTGAAGTTTATAAGCCATTTTTCTGGAAAGACCACCCATTAATTCTGTCTACCCACTGCCATTCTGAGGAATTAAATCTTGTTTTTGTGGACTCCTGCCAGGGCATTCCGGGTGGTAGGTTGCTGTTTGTTTTTGATGGTGCAAGTGTTTGCATTCATTCATGCCTAACATCAATAGAGCACAAGAAAGGAACGGAAAGCCATTTAAAAAGAAATTGGATTATAGAGACCATACAGTGACACTGGCTCAGGAAACTGCAGCCTGAGAATGTTAGGAGAAATCTGTTTCCAAATAGCCTGCTGATTTTTCACTGATTTGCTTCATGTCATTGTACCAAAATTGCTCACCATTTCTATACATCATGACATTAAAATAATGAGTTTATTCATATATTGACTTGATAAAGCAAAAGCAGTGATTGCTGGTGATAGGATGCTGAAGAAAAGATAAATGTCAGCGCTTATAAATGTGAGCTAATTTCAAACTAACTATATTAGGATTTACTAGTTAAGAAAGCTGACATCATTAGTGTTATGTTATATTCTGTTTCACTTTGCTATGCATTTTTTTTCCCTTTTTCCTCCCAACCTCTTTTATAAGGTTTATTTTCAGTAAGTTCCCACTGGAAAAAAAGTGAGCAAAACTGACCTAAAGGAAAATGGATAAGGACAAAAAGGGACTGCTATCATTGTTTGCAGTTACAAAGTTTTCCATAAAATTGACTTCCTACACCTAGATTAAAAGGTTTGGTTTGAGTGATGAATATAGTGCATGTTTTAAGTGACAGAAATGGTTCATTTGAACCAAAATGAATTTATGGAAGACTCACTCTGTGACAAGTACTGGGATAAACTCTGGAAAGAAAAATTAACACTGCTGATCACTAGGAACTTATATTCTCTCTGGAAACAGACTTGGAAAAAATAAGTGCAACCCAAAATGTCAGACAGTGATAGTTCTTTAGAAAAAATAAAGCATCGTAAAATGGCTCAGTTATGCCAGACATAATTGATTGTTACTTTATAGGGGCTGTTGGTGTGGGGAAAGTCCCTTGGAGAGATTGAAATATGACTTCCATGGTTCATTCTGCATGAAGAAAGAAATGAGGCCAACACACATCAGCGAGAAACTGGGGACCACTTTATCTCAGTTTTAAACATTTTAACTTCACAGTTCTTTTGTTTATAAATTGATACAATGTCCTCTCCATCTCTAACTTTTTTTAGTGGTGGTTTTGTGATTCATAAGAGAAGGAGGGCCTTGGGCCGCATAAGTACACACCTACTCTATTTAATTAACTAATTAATTTTTGGTTGCATTGGGTCTTTGTTGCTCTGTGTGGGCTTTCTCTTGTTGCAGCAAGCAAGGGGTTGGGGGGCTACTCTCTAGTTGTGGTGTGAGGGCTTCTCCTTGTGGTGGCTTCTCTTGATGTGGAGCACAGGCTCTAGGTAAACAGGCTTTAGCAGGTGTGGAGCACAGGTTTATGTGCTTCGTGGCATATGGAGTCTTCCCAGACCAGGAGTTGAACCGTGTCTTCTACATTGGCAGGTGGACTCTTAACCACTGGACCACCAGGGAAGTCCACACTTACTGTAAAAGACTACTTCTTATTATGTGAAAAAGTGCTGGGGCTTTAGAGCAGTAGAGACTAAGGTTGGAATCTCAGCTTGCCCACTCCACTGGACAACTCTGAGAAATCACTTAGCCTCTCTAAACCTCGATTTCCCATTTATAACTTGGAAGTGGTCATTTCCCATTCCCAGTTATAGCAAACTGGAGTGAATAGCTCAGTTTCAAGCACTGAGTCTTCTCTGGGGAAAAAAAAAGTGTTACAAGATGAAAATATTTATATACATTTCAGAAG